CCAGTAGCCACACAACGGAGGCCGTGGCGCTGGGAGTACCACTCACGCAGCTGCTGTGAAGTGGGAGCAGTGCGGGGCAGTGCGGTAGGGGAAGAGACGGTAAAAGGGTACCGACTCGTCAAAGGTGACGTCCTGAGAGGCGAAGACACGACGCGAGGTGGGGTGGTAAAACTGCCAGCCAGGCGCGTCAGGGACAAAGCCAAGGAAGACAAAGGGAACGGCACGGGAGGAGAGCTTGTCCGTGGACGTATCGCGGACAAAAGCTCAACATCTCCAGACTCGGAACACCGACGCATCACCAACCTCCCCCGTCCAACGCACAGTGGGCGAGGTCTCCGGAACGGAGACACGGGGCCAGAGGTTGAGCTGATGCGCGGCGTACTGCACTGCAAACGGCCACAGGAAATGGGGGGCAGCCGCATGGATCATGGAGGTACGAGCGACCTCCATGACTAAGCCAATGCGGCGCTCAGCAACCCCATTCTGCTGCGGAGAGGCCGGGAGAGTGAACGTCTGGCGGATGCCGTGCTCCGCACAGTAGGCTGCCAAGAGGTCAGAGGAGAACTCACCATCTCTGTCAGAGTGCAGACGTAGGATAGGAAAGTCCGACTGGAACCGCTGGCGGAGCTGGAGACGAGCAGCGCGGATCCAGGGGATCAAGACATCAGGGACCTCACCCTTGGTACGCAAGGGGAAGACCCTGGTGTAGCGCGTGTAGTCGTCGACGACCAGCAGAAAGTACCGCTCGTGGCCCTGTCCCCGGACGTGGGCGGGGCCCCACACGTCCAGGTGGAGAGTCTGCAGGGGAGCCTCTGTGGGAGGGAACGAGGAGGAGTGAGGAGCGGCACGCTGCCGCCCCTCGACACAGGGAAGACAGGGAGGAGCAGGCGAGGGTGGCAGGGGAGGGAGAACTCTGGGAAGACCAGAGACAAGGTGCCTGGAGTGCATGCCGCGAAGGCGCTGCACTGACGGGTGACCAAGGCGGTGGTGCCAGAGGACAGTCCTGTGCGACAGGGAGCGACACAAGCAGGGGGCCGACAGGTGACCTGACGCAGACGCAGACGCAGCTACCTGAGGGGACTCAGTGGTCAGTGTGTACAAGTCCGACCCCGGCTGCCGAGTGAAGGTAGCCAAGTGACGACCCGTCCGAGCACACGTGTAGTGTGTCACACGCTTGTAGGCCGGGGTGAACTGGTGAACACCCGCGTCCTGGAGCGCGGACCCCGCCACCAAGTTCGTAGAGAATGAGGGGAGGTAGAGGCCCGACAGCGTGCCAGACGGGACAGCAGGACAAGGGAGGGCAGTGGTGGAGGTCGCAAGGACCGGACCCCCTGAGGGGTCAGCCAGAGAGACAGCAACCGGTCTAGGAAGCTGCTCGAGGGCAGTGCGGTCGCGAAAGAAACAGCGGGAAGCACCTGAGTCTAGTGTGAAGGTGTGTAGTGCCTCAGTAGGTGCGGTACCAGCAGACGCAGACGCACTAGCACCTAGGGCAGCAGCCTCACCAGGACCTGGAGGAGCAGACGCGCTAGCACCTAGAGCTGCAGCCTCACTGGTCCCAATACCCGGGTCGGGCGGTACACTCAGGTAACAGTCACCCTCAACACTAATAGTCAATGCATACATAGCAGCAAGGATAGCATCATAGTCAAGAGCAAAGATATCAATGCCCTTCTTAAGCAGATCAGCCCAGCGGGGCAGCTCAGAGGCGTCGGGAAACTGCTCGCGCCAGGCGTCGTCGAGGCGAAAGAAACAGCGCTGTGCCGTGTGAAACCTCCCACAGGTCTGGCCAGTGCGGTCACCTGTGCAGATGACGTACGGGCAGGTACCCCCACCCCCAGACCCCCCACGCTGAGAGTACCACTCACGGAGCTGCTGGGGCGAGGGAGTCTCACCAGGACGCTGCTGCTGGTGCCTCTGGTCACCGCCGAACCCCCCACGCTGTACCGCTCCACCGCGCTCGCAACCCGCTCCACCACCGCCACCACTACCACCACCACCCCCACCACCTCCACCACCGCCGCCGCCACCACCCCCTGTGCCGCCACCGACAAGTGCTCGCGCTCATCTAACGGGAGGTGGCTGCGAACGGCTAGGCGAGCGTGAGCATCACGGGTCTGCCACTGGGAGCGAGCAGTACTGTCAGCAGTAGCGGGAGATGCAGGAGCAGCGCCTGACGTGTGGTCATACAGGGAGACATCGTCCTTGGCAGTGATCTGGAGGAACAGGTGGAGGTCATCTAACCAAACCTCAAACTTAATCGGGCGGCCCTCAGCGTCAAAGGTGAGAATAGAGGGAGTGGCCATGGTGGCAGTAGGAACAGTAGTAGTAGTAGCAGTAGTAGTTGAAGCAGTAGTACGGTAGGAACATGAACAAGAGTCGCTGGAGGTGGGGCACAGTAGGGCGGCGCGGCTCGGTTCGGGCGGTAAGCGAGCTCAGGTGTGCGGGAAGCGTGCACAAGTGTGCGGGAAGCGAACTCGGGTGTGCGGTAAGCGAACTCAGGTGTGCGGGGAGGGGGGCCGCAGGGCGACGCGCGGGTCCACGGGAGCGGCGCAACTGGATCGCGGGGGGCGCGCGCGGGTCCCCAGGGGCGACGCGACGATCGACGGGGGGGGCGCGCGGTTCTCCGGGGGCGGCGCGACGAGTTCGGGCGGCGCGGCTCGGTTCGGGTGGCGCGGCTCGGCTCGGGCTGGTCGACGCGGCGGTGCGCGACTGGGGGCATGCGCGTGGGCGGCTGTAGCGGGCGGGCCGTGGCTGCGCGTGGGCCTGACGAGCGCGCGGGCGGCGGCCTAGAGAGGGCGTCGCGGCGGCCTACGGGCGTGGCTGCGACGCTCTAGGCGGCGGTCGACGGGCGGCTAGGGGCTGCTCGTGGGCGGCGCCAGTCGCACGGGCGGCTAGGGGTCGGCGCGCGCTCAGAAAAGGGGCCGCGCGCGGGCGGCTAGCGGGCTACGCGGGCAAAAACGAGCCGCGCGAGCGACTAGCGGGCGACGCGGCCGAAAAAACGGGGCGCTCGAGGGCGCACTAGGCGTGAGGCGCACGAGGGCGCAACTAGCGGAACGATGGGCCCTTAGGTAAGCGGTCCTAGGGCTAGGACATACGCTCTTAATACCATGTCAGAATCAACAAGTGATTGAACTATGAACATTGGGTGATACAAGTAGCAAACCGTAGAATGATGTACCCCGTAAAGGCTAACCCGCTATAGCCTACACAACAATAACATATACGGTATAATGTTTGACAGAGGGCCTGTCTGCTACTGACTCCCAGCGTTTCCCTGCTGCTTGGTCTATTTCTGCTGCTCAGCTTCCCCCCTTCCCTTAGCGTTTTCCAGGCATTCGCTCTTGCGGTGTCCCGGTCGATTGCAAGCGAAGCAGCGCCCTTTGAACGGTGCAGCAGCGGCATTCGCGGCGACGGCACATATCGTAGTGCCCTCGTTCGTCCCACAAGACCGATGTCCCCAGTTACTGCTTCCGTAGGACTCAGGTCTCGGTCGGCGGAAGAAATCAAGCTTCTCCGCCATAGCGAGAATTTCTTGAAAATCGGTGACGCCGCGAAGCTGGATTTCCTGATCAATGTCGTGCTTCAGGTCGCCGATGTAGAGGTCGATGCGTTCGCTCTCGTGCATATAACCCACTTGCTCGCATAGCGCCAGAAACCCGCTGGTGTAGTCCTGGACGGAACCGAGTTGGCGCCAAGTGCGGAGCTTCTATCGCGCTGCGATCGAAGCCGCAATTGGCTCGAACCGAGCGCGCAGACCTGCGCACCACGCGTCCCACATGCGATATTGGGGCACCTCCACGAAATACGACGGCGCCCAGGGTCCGGTTTGTCCCTCCCGTGTCGGGAGAGTCGCGTAGTCCACCGGCTTCGTGACGATGACATGCCACCAATCCATGGCGGGTCCTCGCAGCAACGACACGGCGTAGCGAATCTTCGCCGTATCCTCCAAGACGTAGTTCGCGTCGAAGAAGACATTCAACGTGAAAAGCCACGCCTGAACGGTAGGACCACCCCGCTGACTCAGGTCAAAGCATGGCGGACGCTGCGGCTTCAGCGGCATCGGCGAGCTAGCTAGTGCTGCGCTGGCAGCGAGGTTCGGGCTAGTCCCGAAGCGTAGGCCGTCGCGGCCGGGCCAGCAGTGCGAGGTTTGGTGAAACAGTGCGCGCGAAGTTGGCGAAGCCCTGTTAGCAGTAACAGGCGAACAACGGCTGCTGCTGTACGCAATGTTGCAGGGCGCGCTAAGGAATACCGAGAAAATTCATTACAGAAATCAAGACTAACGTTTCCTAATTTACAAGAGTTCCATAGCTACTCACTGACGAGCAGTTTCTATTTTTGCCGCCATGATTTCTCTCTTCCGTTGCTCCAGCCCCTCGATCATACTTCTAAGATTAACCAGAGCAGGGTGAAGAGGCGGACCTCCATTCGGATCCACATGGACAAACTTGCGCTGGAGACCGGCAGGGGTGAATCGGGTCTCAAACCTTACTCGACCATCCTTGAGAGCAAAGAGAGTGTGGTCTCTCCCCATGCCTACAAAGTCCCCAGGGTAGAAACGAGTTCCTCGCTGCCTCACAATAATGTTGCCAGCCACCACTCCCTGCCGACAAATGTGTGAAGGAGACAGTAGGGAAAAGGCAAAAGTGCAGGAGAAAGGGCAAGGGTAGAAAATAAAGACGGGGGGTGGAGGGGAGGGGAGGAGGGGGAGGGGGGAGAGAGAGAGAGAGAGAGAGAGAGAGAGAGAGAGAGAGAGAGAGAGAGAGAGAGAGAGAGAGAGAGAGAGAGAGAGGGAGGGTGAAAGCATAAAAAACGCATTTCCGGATAACAATGAACCGACAGCAGACAAACGACACACCGAGTCATGGTAGAGTCAACAGATAGATGGGGAGTGCGAACACACATCCTCTAACAAGTCACCTGTCTGCCAGGCCTCTTTAACCCCAGGTGCTTGGACTGCATGAAAGTAGATTGTTCTGAGACGTCTCAAAACGCGTCTATGTTCACATGGCAAACCCACAAGCCCTCCTCACCTGTCCACCAGACTTCTTCACCCCCAGGTGCTTGGGCTGCGAGTCGCGGCCGTTCTGTGTGGATCCCATGGCCTTCTTCGTCGCACTGCGTTGCTGCACCAGCAACCACGCCCCTGCCGGTGAGAGTCCGTGCTGGGAAACCACCTCCCCCAGAGGCCCCGAGGAGCCTGCAGATGGGAATGTCCCAGCAGGCTGAAAGGCTCGGGTGATGCTGCTGAAGCTGATCCCGGCTACCTGTTGTGCTAGTCGGCGAGACATGACGGCGGATCTTGATGTGACCACTCTCTCACAAAAGCCTTCAACTGCTTCTTTCCAGAGGTCGCTTAGTGTCTCACAATCAGTTTTCCGCCCAAGAGCTGCAGGTTGGCAGAGAGAGCGTGGAAGTCGGAGGAATGAGCGTGACAGATGCCAGAAAGGTGGAGGTTAGCGCGGAAGAGGCACACGCTTTGGAAGGTTTGCGAGGAAAAGGCACCTGCTTCACGAGATCGCATACGCCGTAAGCTTGTGAGGCAAACACTAAGAGATTGCGACAAGTTAGGCTGTTACAATGCGCATCTATGAAACCTATCCGCGATTCGCCCAACCTTTCTCGTCGACCATAGGGTTCGTTGGTGTGGGATCCTAATCCGCTCCTACCACACGACTCCTACCATACGACTCTTCTCATCTCTCACCTCACTGGACGGTCGTGATGCGTCTGGTGCGTATTCCCGCCAGACCCTGACTGGCGGTATGTATGTTTGGCCAAATGCGTCAGCACCTGTGCTGGGATGACTGTCGAAGATACCACTTGTGGTCAACAAATGCGACCCTCGCGTTCATGTGGGCATGATGAAATTATTGATTCAACCCCCACACCCTAGTTGCTGCGGTACTATACGGTGTTAGACGTAAATACGTGGGTACAGCGCAGTAACTCTGGAACGTTCTTCTCAGATTTGTGGTGTTGTAGCACACAGCTGCTACAGAATTCACTATTAGTTTAGAGGATGACATTCCATGATCGTATACATGAAAGTCCAACATGACAAGAAACCAAGCACCATGGCAAATGCCTTCATTAATTAATGATCCTATACTAGACTTAAGCTTGATAACCGAATCCCTCTCCTCAGGGATTCACCTCCTGTTAGTGAGGCAAGGAATCATGTACACAGAAGTGCCAGCCAGCCACCCCATAACTCTCCTCACACAAAGAAGCCCTCCATGGGCTTTCCATCAAAGCAATCAATCAGGGTCGCAAAAAACTCTCCATCAGCAACGTCCATATCGCGGCCCATCACCTGATACCCGCCTGCAGGAGCAATGGGGTTTCCCTTGCCATCACACGCGGGCAGCGCAGTTGCTGCTCCCTCAGTAAGTGTGATCGCAGCCGTTGACTCAGAGAGCTGGCAATCCGACTCATCCTCACCGTCCGTACCCACATCTCCCTGGTTACTCAGAAAGAGCGATTCAGCCTTCACAACACCGTTAACGGCTGGAAGGAGGACCGGATCCGAAGAATCATCTGGAGAATCATTAACACCTGTCCCGTTCTCCTCCGTTCTCTTCCGCTTTCCTGGTCCCTTCGCGACTTCGTCAGTCAGCCCGTCCGTAACAGCTGTGAGCGGGGACGACAGAGCAGACTCTTTTCCCGGAGACGACAGCTTGCTGCCTTGCGAAAGAGTCGACCCCGCCGCTCCCGCGTTGCTTCCACCACTGCAATCGTCCAGCTCTTTTCGCAGCCGCTTAAGCTCGCGTTCCAGGTTTGAGTTCTGCTCCTGGAAGCGACGAATCTTGTCGGTTGCTTCAGTCAGCCGCCGCTGCACTGCGGCGTTTTCCATCTTAAGCTTCGCGGACTGGATTTCCAGCTCCTCCAGCCGCACCTGACGGCGCTGGCGCGACCTCTTCGCGGAAGCGCGATTCGACATCATTCTGCACGAATTAGAACACTCAATGTCATTTGACATGACGAAAGCAAAACGAAACACGGCTTCAAGCTGGTAGCCGGCATGGACTCGGGAGTAAGAGGCAGCGGAATGCGTAAGATGGAACCATTGTCTTACCGCTTGTACTTCTTTTCATCCATTTCCTCCTCATCCTCCTCCGCGTGATGCGGATCCACCTCGGGATTGGCACCCCACGCGAATCCAGGCCCTGACCCACTCTGAACTGGACGCGGCGCGATGTTGGCTGCTCCCGTAGATTTCGCCCAGGCTTCCAGGCTCCCTGCAGGAACGGCCTGCTGCTGCCAGGCCGGGACCATAGAGCCTTGAAGCTGTTTTTGCAGCTCTTCTTGAGAGCCTGCCTGGAGTCCTTTCATGGGATTCCACGCCGTAGACTGAGCTTGTGCGAGCTGCTGCTGCAGTCGCAGCTGTTGCTGTTGCTGCTGCTGTTGCTGAAGGAGCTGCAGTTGCTGCTTCTGCTGAAGCATCTGCAGCTGCTGCTGAAGCTGCTGCTGCTGCTGAGCTGCTGCTCGGTGGAGTTGCGCGTTTGTCATAGTGGGAAAGAACTGACCGTGCTGCTGAAGCCTGCAAAGAGAGCAGGTGAGGTTAGTAAGAACCCGGAATTTTAAAAGAAGTGGGACACACACACACACTGAATCGAAAAAAAACGAGCGTAAGAATTAGAAGTGAAAGCAAACTCACTGTGCGGCCGTGAAAGTGGCTTTGGGCTCCTCGGGAACCGCCTGAAAGCGTCCATTTGGTAGGCCTGACGTTCCAATCATTCCGTTCCACGCCCAAGTCTGAGCGTTTGAATTATTGACTGCTCCAGCAGCCTTCAGAGCATGTCCAGGTATTTCAGCGATGAAGTTGGCTCCTGAAGTTCCAGCTCCCGCAGGAACTCCAGCTTCCGGTGGACGACACATTTGCTATCTTCGTAAGTTATTCGACGGAAGATAGCTATAACTTGCAGTCGATTACAGTTATGACGGTGTAAGGGAAAGTGCAGTAGACTAAATAGAAACCGAAGCTGAGTCAGATAGTTTTAGGTCGGATACTGAGATACCTGGGTGAATGCGGAAGGGCGGGGGGAAATGCTAGGGGGAAGGGGAGGGGGGAGGGGAGCGTGTGTGCCAGTGCGTGTACGGTGAACAAGGACGAGGAGGTGTTGGCGGGAGTTGCGAACGTTGAAGCGCAGCGGTGGTCAAGCGGCATGGGGGAAGCGGGGATGGTTTGCCTGGGGATGGTAGGGAGGGGAGAGTGTGCTGGAGGAGAGTGATGGTTGGGAAGGGAAAGTTGCTGCTGAGGTGTCCCAGCTTGCGGGTTTCGGGTGTGGTTGTGGTGATTGGGCACAGCTACTTGGCAGGGTAATGCTGCTCGTGAACAAGGCAGTGCACAACTGTCGAGTTCTGTACGAGCAGGAATTCACACTCAGCTGCCCGTAGGTGGATTATTACGAAGCTAGAGCCTCCTCTCGATAACGTCGACCAATCATCAGGCTGCTGATGTGTTGCTCAGAGAGTGGCCCAACAGCCAAATCAAACAGACCGAACTGGGTGATACACACGCTTGGTTCACGATGATGGACGTTCGCAACATCAACAGCGGCAAGATTGACAAACTTGAGCAGATCTTTCTGGACTGGACTTGGCTGGTTTGGCGATGCCCGACTGAGTGGATTCCCTCTGACACTCATTAGGACGTCGTGCGGAACGCCTCGGCACGCCCCGGTGCACTGGGTTTAGAAGATAATACCGCTTATAAACAGTTTGCACCGATTTGCACCACGTATTTGGGACCTGCCAGTTCCAAATCGTTGATATCTTACGAGTACTAGTACACCCTTTTTTGCGCTACACTGACAATGAGATTAACAGGCTACAGTGTGCACTGCTGCTTGGACCGTAGCGGTCTCGTGCTTACAGCCGAACTGCATGTAGTGACGGGCAAATGCACTCCTGGTGAACGGTACATAACGGTTTTCAGAAACAACCTTGCTTTTGCGTACGGTTGAGTACGGGAAAACGTGCTTATATCGTATGTGCATGGACCATCCTGGACGCATTGATGTGTGTACATCCGATTAGTCAGTATAGCCAATAACAGTGTAGCGCGAAAAAGGGTGTACACTTTCCGCAATTCCCTGATTTCCTCTGAACTGTCCCGCTGCATCACCCGTCTTGTGTTTCGGGCTGAATCATACAACAGTGCACAAATCATGCTCTTCGCGTGCGCTGACAAGGAGCAAGTGCCACAGGGTGGTCTGAACCTCTATTTCCTTGCCATTTCTGAAGAAAGCTGATGAGGAACAAGTGGAAGGAGTTTGTCCAGCAAATCCGGGATATTTGATCGTACGCGTGGAGATCAGAACAGTCAAACAAAGCAGGAAGGAAGGAGGAAGCTGTAAGCTAAACTGTGCGTCAATGAGAAAGGGCAAGATCCACCTCATCAAGCGTGTGGAAGGACAAAAAGGACCTGTAAAGAAACGAGCCGTGACGCAAGTGCGCACCGCTTTTTCTAGGAATCTGAACCTTTTCTTCAGATATTATAATCCGAGCTGGAATTGAGACGTCAGCTTGTGCCACTCGCCTTGATATTCACCGAGAAGGACACAAGAAAAACGTTCCTGAGTGGTTCTTTCCCCTAAACTTCAATACTTCCACACCAATACAGTCGATGCTCAGCCTATCACGAAACATTTGCACCCACAATTAGAAATTTAGTCACTCGCGAACGTTTTGCCCGTGAGTGACTAAATTGACCATTGTGCCGATTTCAGGGTACAGTCACCAAGTTGAGGAAGAAAAACATCTACAGTTCATAAAGAACAACGGTTGCCCGTCATCAGAGAAGTTAGCCTCGTTACGAAATTAAAGCCCTTGACTCGATTCACCGTGCAATTTCATATTACAGTCACATTTTTGCCCGTGGCGACAAGGGCGAACGTGGCGAAATATCTCAAACTCGTTTCACGTTAATGCCGCCCGCCTACCTGGTGTTCTTGAAATGGGCACCGACTGTACCTTCTTTCTCAATTTCTGTGGTTGCTCGAATGGTTCTGTTGAATGTATACATCTATCTCATGACTATGCACGCAAGTTATACGTGCACAAACACACATTTGTACGGCTCGTCATTATGTTATACACATGCACATATTTGCGAGACCTTTCCTTATATACTTGCTATTGATATTCATGCTTCCAAAAAACATAACAATTTGCCTGGACTAATGTACCCACCAAAACTGAATGTGCTCCAAAGCAGACTTCCATAAAAAATTTGTGAACCAGAGCTTACAACTCAGTGTAGCTCATAAAATGCAAGTCAAAATAGTGTTTATTCCCAGCTTCTGCGCTTCAATATTTGCCAGGCATTGTCCCTTCTTTCGTGAAGCATGCTCTCATGCTCTTTATACAGGAGCAGATTACTCCCGTTACAGTTACCGTCATACCCCGGATATACCCCCATGGGGGGCACTAATAAAACGTGTTTTTTTTAGGGGGTGGGCTTATAATATAGTAATTTTATAAGCGCCGGGGCTTATACAATGACATATATGAAATCTAGTTGTTTTCACTTCAAAATATTCATCTTGTCATTGCGATTTCAATCAAGTCAAGATCATAGTGAGAGTGAAGAAGAATCTCGCGTAAGTTTGCAAACTGCCAACACACACTGTCAGAATGAGTCATTTCGCCCCATGACAGCTCATTCTGACTGGACGCGCAGTCAGTTGAGTCGCGCGAGGGTGGGGCAGTGAGTCGCGCGAGGGTGAAGGGTCGAAATTTTATCAAGTGAGGATGCAGATAGTGTGTTTCGCTACAGAGATTCCAGTAACTTTATAAAAACTAATACAAATGGAGGCTCTTATAATACGTAAGCCTTCAGGGGGTGCGCTTATAATCGAGCACCGGATATAAGCGCCACACGCCAATTAAAAGCGCCAGGCGCTTATCCGCGGGTGGCGCTTATATCCGGGGTATGACGGTATATACACTAGTATGCGCAGCAACATGCATGCGCTAAATATAATTAGGCCCGCACAACGGGTTATTACCGTATTCTCCCGGACATAACACCCTAGGGTATAGCTAAAAATACAGGGAAAAAATGGGGGGGGGTCTCCTCATAGGAAAAAAATACACAATACCCGGGTCTTTACATATGGCATATTTTAGTGTTAGTGTTTTCTTAATTAGTCAATGTGGGTGTTTTGCTGGTCGTTTTAGCATCACTGCCTGAGGCGCGAATGTGAGTTTCGGCCTCGAACTTCATCGCCCCCACGAAAATGGCATGTGGCACCTCTCTTGCCACTTGCAACGGAAGATTCACCTGCACGTGGCGACAGAGAAATAGTGGGAGGGGGCAAATCTCGGCAGATTTGTCAAATGTTATATATTCTTTATATTGTTAGTCTAGGCTATAGTGAGTTGCCCTCTAAAGGGTACAACACTTTAGGTCGACACTTGTATCCCTTGCCTCTCACTACTCGAAACACACACACTTTCGATACTTCTCTCCTAGCCTAGTTTAAGATGGTATTAGAGTAGGTTTTAATCCCTCCCACGCTTCCGCTCCCTCCCTTAGCCAGTCCCGAGGCGCCCGTCCCTTAGGCCCCGTTTCGTCGCGGGTAGGACGGCCCCCGCGGGCCTCGTTTTCGTCGCGTTTAAGGGCCCCCGCGGGCCTCGTTTTCGTCACGTTTACGGGCCCCCGCGGGCCTCGTTTTTCGTCGCGCTTAAAGGGCCCCGCTGGCCCCTCGTTTCGTCGCGCTCCAAAGGGAATCTCCCCCCCCCCCCCCACCCGCGGGCCCGCGTAGTCGTCCTTAGCCCGCAGCAGCGCGCGCGTTAGCCAGCGGCAGCCGCGCACGCCACTGCAGCACGCACATTGCAGCAGCAGCGCGTGCATTGCTGCAGCAGCACGACTAGGCAGCAGCACGGCTAGGCAGCAGCGCGTGCATTGCTGCAGCAGCACGGCTAGGCAGCAGCGCGTGCATTGCAGCAGAAGCACGGCTAGGCAGCAGCGCGTGCTCCTGCAGCAGCAGCACGGCTAGGCAGAAGCTAGCCGCCAGCAACAGCTAGCCACCGGAACCTAGCCGCCTGCAGTTGGCGCCAGCTAGCACCTCCCACCCGCTCACAGCCCCTTCCAGCCGCTCACAGCCCCTTCCAACCGCTCACAGCCCGTTCCAACCGCTCAAAGCCCGTTCCAACCGCTCACAGCCCGTTCCAACCGCTCACAGCCCCTTCCAACCGCTCACGGCCCCTTCCAACCGCTCACAGCCCCTTCCAACCGCTCACATCCCCTTATCTCGCGCGCACACCAC